TCCAAAGCAGCTGGTGGGTTCGAACCGCCGACCTTTTGGTTAGCAGCTGAGCACTTAACCCCTGCACCACCAGGAATACAGGAGGCAAAATACATGGGAATGCTATCAGCCAAATCCAGATTTGAGAATTCTATAAGACAATCTGGTTTCTTTAATCAAAACAGTGCAAAAAAAAAAAAAAAAAAATGCAAGAAAGAGGGAACCTAGGGATTGAAAGCAATTTAAAATACGTAATCCAAATGCAATGAACGCACCTTGTTTAGATGCTGAATAAACCATCTATAAAAAAAGTTTATGAGACAATCTGAGGAATTTAAATACTGCTTGGATATTTGATATGAAGAAATAATCAATATTGTGTAGGCATAATAATGGTATTGTGCTTTTTTTAAAAAAAAAAAGTCCTCATTCTTTAGAGATACATACTGATACATTATGAAGGAAATATATTTGAAATTTGTTTCAAAACAATCCAGAGGCAGGGTAGGATGGTGGGGGGTGGATGGCAGCAGAGATGAAGTAAGACTGGCCATGTGTTGTTAATGGTTGGAACTGGGTGACAAGTAAATGAGGTTCATTAAAATACTCTTTGAAATTATCTATCTATAGTGTTTTTTTTTTAAAAATTCGGCTGTATAGTACTGGGTAAGCCAGCACAACCTGTACAAGGCAAGGTCATGGACACTCCATAGACACATCCAAACTCCCTGAGGGACCGAATTGCTGATGGAGGGCTGTGGGGACCATGGTCTTGGGGAACATTTAGCTCAACTGGCACAACATAGTTTATTTATAAAGAAAACGTTTTACATTCTACTTTGGTGAGTAGCGTTTGGGGTTTAAAAGCCTGTGAGCGGCCATCGAAGATACTCCACCGGTCTCAGCCCTTCAGGAGCAAGGAAGAATGAAGAAAACAAGATACAAGGGAAAGATCAGTCCAAAGGACTAATGGACCACAACTACCATGGCCTCCACCAGACTGAGTCCACTATAACTATACGGTGCCCAGCTACCACCACTGACTGCTCTGACCGGGATCACAACAGAGGGTCCTGGACAGAGCTGGAGAAAAATGTAGAACAAAATTCTAACTCAAAAAAAGACCACACTTACTGGCCTAACAGAGACTGAAGAAACCCCGAGAGTATGGCCCCCGGACACCCTTTTAGCTCAGTAATGAAGTCACTCCCGAGGTTCACCGTTCAGCCAATGGTTAGACAGGCCCATAAAACAAAACGAGACTAAAGGGGCACACCTGCCTAGGGGCAAGGACTAGAAGGCAGGAGTGAACTCAAGGTTGAGAAGGGGAGTGTTGACATGTCGTGGGGTTGTCAACCAATGTCATAAAACAGTATGTGTACTGTTTAATGAGAATACTACCATAAGTAACAATGCACAAGCACCAGAAGAGAGACCAGATAACTGGGAGCGCCTAAAAATCAAACACTTATGCTCATCAAAAGCCTTCACCAAAAGAGTAAAAAGACAACCTATAGACTGGGAAAAATTTTTTGGCTACGACAAATCCGATCAGCCTCTAATCTCTAAAATCTACAAGATACTGCAAAAGCTCAACAACAAAAAGACAACCCAATTAAAAAATGGGCAAAGGATATGAACAGGCACTTTGCTAAAGAAGACATTCAGGCGGCTAACAGACACATGAAGAAACACGATCATTAGCCATTAAAGAAATGCAAATCAAAACTACAATGAGATACCATCTTACCCCAACAAGGCTAGCACTAATCCAAAAAACACAAAATAATAAATGTTGGAGAGGCTGTGGAGAGAATGGAAAACTTATACACTGTTGGTGGGAATGTAAAATGGTACAACCACTTTGGAAATTGATTTGGTGCTTCCTTAAAAAGCTGGAAGTACCATACGATCCAGCTATCCCGCTCTTTGGAATATATCCTAGAGAAATAAGAGCCGTCACACTAATAGATACATGCACACCCATGTTCACTGCAGCACTGTTCATGATAGCAGAAAGATTAGAACCTAGGTATCCATCAACAGATGAATGGATAAACAAATTATGGTATATTTACACAATGGAATACTACGCAACGGTAAAGAACAGTGATGAATCCGTGAAACGTAACGTGGAGGAATCTAGAGGACATTATGCTGAGTGAATTTAGTCAGTCACAGGACAAATACTGTATAAGACCACTATTATAAGAACACAAGAAAAAGTTTAAACACAGAAGAAAACATTCTTTGATGGTTACGTAGGGAGGGAGGATGAGGGTTATTCACTAACTAGATAGTAGACAAGAATCTTCTTAGCTGAAGGGAAGGACAGCACACACTACAGGGGAAGTCAGCACAACTGGACTAAACCAAAGCTAAGAAGTTTCCCGAATACAAACACTTTGAGGGACAGAGTAGCAGGGGCAGGGGTCTGGGGACCATGCTTTCAGGGGACATCTAGGTCAACTGGCATAACAAAGCTTATTAAGAAAATGTTCTGCATCCTACTTTGGTTAGTGCTGTCTGGGGTCTTAAATGCTAGCAAGCAGGCATCTGAGATGCATCAATTGGTCCCAACCACCTGGAGTAAAGGAGAATGAAGAACACCAAAGATACAAGGAGAGTATTAGCCAAAGAGACAGAAAGGGCCACATAAACCAGAGACTTCATCAGCCTGAGACCAGAAGAACTAGATGGTGCCCAGCTACCACCAATAATCGCCCTGACATGGGACACAACAGAGAATCCCGGATGGAGCAGGGGAAGGGTGGGGTGCAGAACTCAAATTCTAGTAAGAAGACCAGACTTAATGGTCTGAGACTGAAGGAACCCCAGAAAGCATGGCCCCCAGACTCTGTCAACCCAGAACTAAAACAATTTCCAAGGCCACCTCTTCAGACAAAGATTGGACTGGACTGTGGGACATAAAATGATACTCATGAAGAGTGTGCTTCTTAGCTCAAGTAGATACGTGAGACTAAATGGGCAGCTTCTGTCTGGAGGTGAGATGAGAAGGCGGAGAGGGTTAGGAGCTGGCTGAATGGATGTAGCAAATCTGGGGTGGAAAGGAGGAATGTGCTGTCACAGTATAGGGAGAGCAACTGGGGTCACATTACAGTGTATGTATAAATTTTTGTACGAGAGACTGACTTGAATTGTAAACTTTCACTTAAACTACAACAATTAAAAAAAAATCTATATGTGTAATAATGAGAAGCTAATTCGATAAACCTTCATCTAAAGTATAATTTAAAAAATTGGCTGTATTAAATAGACTTTGAATGTAATTATTCTATGTAAAATGTGAAACAGAGAAACAGAAAGAATTATAGATTAACATTTATATAAATCTAGGATACAGGCTGACTTTCTAAGCATGACACCAAAGGCAGAAATTGTAAAGAAATCAATTGATTTGACTACATGCAAAATGTAAAGTTCTGTAAAAAGGACCGTGAATAAAGTCAAAAGGTAAACTGAAAAACATTTCCATCATATGACCAAAGGGAAAAATTCTTCATATATAAAAAGCTCTTACAAATTAATAAGAAAATGCCAAAACACCACAGAAAATAAAAACTGTTAAGTATATAAGCATTTTAAAAAGAAATACAAATTCAGTAGACATTGCTGCACTAACAGTGAAAATCTAGGAACATATGAAATACCCATTAATAGGCAGGCAATTGAAATAAATTATGGTGCACCTTAGAGTATTAAGCAGCAATATGATAGTAGAGAAATGTATTTATTGCTAGGGAATGTTGGTTCACAAATATATTTTTGTAAATTATAAACACTGATGCATAGAAAGGAGTCTGAAAAGACATTAGTTCTCTGACATTATAAGGACTTAAAATTTTCTTTTGACTATATTTTCTGTAACGAATTTCTTTTGTAATAACAAAAGTCTTTAAACAGTAGCCCTAGCAATAAAACTATAAACAAATTTAAAAAATTCACACATAGTAACGTTTTCTCAAATTAATTGGAATTCAAAATTACTAATTATCTTTAATCCAACATCACTGAGCCAAATATATATATTAAAGAGATGCACATATACTAGTTTAAAGTTCTGACTAAGGGAGCGGGGGATAACCTGAGGTAAGATGGCATGGCATAAAGAAGTTGAAAAATCATCAAAGTATTTATTAGGACAGAAAAGCAAAACCTTATCAAAATCATTCCTATGACTGGAATTATAAAGTAAATGAATTCATACTTCAATTGTGTATCAGCAGTGATTTGTCATCAAGGTCTTAACAGTTCAATGATACATTTAATTTAATAAGACTTTGGTAAATTTGGTAAGACAGTGTCATGAAATTGTCTTAAAACACTACCTGTGAGGTCATTAACATTTTTGATAAGAAAAAAGATGGCTGAATTCTTTCATCTTCCCATATCACCATCACTATTCTAACACATGTTATCTAACAGATTTTAGTCTGGAAGTCAGTTCATGTGTCAGTATCAAACACGAGTATTATCTAGTTTATAACACGATGTCTCGTTCAAGAGTTTTCAACTAAGTTTTAAAACTAAACAAAATCCTGAGAAAAACATTTTTCTTTTTTCTCTCCGAGATAAATTTGAGTCTAAACAGTTGACAGAGTTTTGTTGAAAATTACTGCAATAAGGGAACCTGCCAAAACATGTTCACATTTTAAAAAGTTTAAACATGACTATAAATTTGTAACTTTTGCTCTACTCAATTATTTTTTCAAAGTTTATCAAAATTATTAAGAAAATAAATGTGGATGCACTGAAGAAAAATACTTGCAATAAAGAGAATAAATATGAACATTGGCCTATGCTATCAAGAAGGGATATTTCCCACATACTGTTGATAAAAATTATAGGAACCAGCTGGTGGTCTGACAGTGTTAAGTCCTCCAACATTAAAACTGACGAGTTGGTTCCATGAGCTGTCAATTATAGTTTGTTATAAGGCAGTGTATTTTATCAGCACAAGGATTCCTCTGATGTTTTTCCATACTTTCAAATTCTTTTGTCATTAGGCATCTACCAGATTCTTCAACTATATTACAGGAATATCCAACTAACAAGAGTGGACTCTGGGCATCAACATTAACAATAGTTTACTGATGTTTCTACTGTAAGTTTCATATTTCCAATAATAAAATTTTGCATAGATGTTGGAATTAAAAAGTCTAACTGTACGTTTTACCTGAAATTGTATTATTACAATATTTTCATGAGAAAAGTTGTCTAGTAACATAAATTGCTTCTGCATCAGTTCCACAAACAAGACAAGAACCTAAAACATCCAAACTGTTAACAGACAGAGTCCTGCTGGGAAGCAAGCTTGTGATTTCAATACGGTCTTTGGCAGGATCAGTGCTGAGCCAGGAACTTATAAGAGACTGGTGAACATTAGCCTGGTTACTAATGCTGTGAGATAAAAAAGTACTGTTTCTTCCTCCTGGGAGAAAAAAAGAGAAAAATAAAACCCTTTCAAGACTAATTTTATATTAGTACACACCCAAAGTTCCACGGACACTTTAAAAAGGTGATTATTTAAATTTGTTAAATTCTGAGAATAGCAGACTGACAATAACATCATCACACACCATTTAAAAAAAATTAGTAGTAAAATATATATAACCAAAAGATTGCCATTTTAACTATTTTTTTCCTTTAAATTTTTAATTGTATTGTGTTTTAGGTTAAAGTTTACAGCATAGTTTCTCACTAAAAAATGTATATACAAATTGTTTTGTGACATTGGTTGCAATCCCACAATGTGTCAGCACTCTCTCCCTGCCCTTTTCCACCCTGGGTTCTCTGTGTCCATTTGTCCAGTTTTCCTGTCCCTTCCTGCCTTCTTGTCTTTGCTTTTGGACAAGTGTTGCCCATTTGGTCTTGTATACTTGATTAACTAAGAAACACATTCCTTACATGTATTATTGTTTGTTCTATTAAAAAACCAAACCAAACCCGTTGTCACTGAGTTGATTCTGACTCATAGCGACCCTACAGGACAGAGTAGAACTGCCCCAAAAGGTTTCCAAGGAGAGGCTGGTGGATTCAAACTGCCGATCTTTTGGTTAGCAGCCTTAGCTCTTAACCACTGTGCCACCAGGGCTCCTGTTTGTTCTATACGCCTGTCTAATTTTTGGCTTTAGTTATGAGTTAGCAGGGTGTCTGGGAGCCACAGTCTTGGGGATTCCTCCAGTCTCTGTCAGACCAATAAGTCTGGTTTTTTTTTTTGGGTGAATTTGGATTTTATTCTACATTTTTCTCGCACTCTCTGGGATACTCTATTGTGATCCCTGTCAGAGCGTTTGGCAGTGGTAGCCAGGCCCCATCTAGTTCTTCTGGGCTCAGAATGGTGGAGGCTGTGGTTCATGTGGTTCATTAGTTCTTTGGACTAATATTTTCCTTGTGCCTTTGGTTTTCTTCATTCTCCTTTTTGATGGGACCAATAAATGTATTTTAGATGGCTGCTTACAAGCTTTTAAGACCCCAGATGCTATTCACCAAAGTAGGATGCAGAATAGTTTCTTTATGAACTGTTAAGCCTATTGAGCTAGATGTCCCCCAAGACCATCATCCCCAGCCCTCAGCCCTAGTAACTCAGTTCCTCAAGGTGTTTGGATGCTTCTGTGACTTTGCCTTGGTCAAGCTGTACTGACTTCCCCTGTATTGTGTGTTGTCTTTCCCTTCACTAAAGTTAACACTTGTCCACTATCTAGCTAGTGATTTCCCTTCCCTACCATCCCCCTCCCTCATAACCATCAAATATTGTTTTTTTCTGGGCGTAAATCTTTTCTTGGGTTCTTGTAATAGTGGTCTTATAAGTATTTGTCCTTTTGTGATTGACTTATTTCACCAGCATAATGCCCTGCATATTCATCCATGTTGTGAGATGTTTCTCGGATTCATCATCATTCTTTGTCACTGTGTAGTATTCCATTGTATGTATGTACCGTAATTTGTTTATCCATTCATCTGTTGCCGGGCACTTAGGTTTCCATCTTTTTGCTACTATGAGTAATGCTATAATGCACACGGTTGTGCATGTGTCCATTCGTGTGATGGCTCTTATTTCTCTAGTATATATTCCTAGGAGTGGGACTGCAAGATCATACGGTATTTCTGTTTCTGGCTTTTTAAGGACATGCCATATCGTTTTCCATAGTGGTTTTATCATTTTACATTCCCACCAGCAGTGCGTAAGAGTTCCAATTTCCCCACAACCTCTCCAACATTTGTTATTTTCTGCTTTTATTGATTAGTGCCGGTAATGTCAGGGTGAGTTGTTATCTTATTGTACTTTGATTTGCATTTCTCTTAGCTAATGATCAAGAGCATTTCCTCATGTGTCTGTTAGCCACCTGAATGTCTTCTTCAGTGAAGTGTCTGTTCATATCCTTTCCCCATTTTTTAACTGGATTATTTGTCTTTTGTTGTTGAGGTGTTGAAGTATTCTATAGATTTTAGAGATTAGACCCTTGTTTCAGATATAAAAATTTTTTCCCAGTCTGTGGGCTCTCTTTTTACTCTTTTGGTGAAGTCTTCAATGAGCACAAGTACTTAATTTTTAGGAGCTCCCAGTTATCTAGTTATCTTCTGGTGTTTGTGCATTGTTACGGTTTGTATTGTATTTATGCCATGTACTATGGCCCCTAGCATTTTAACCATTTTTAAGTGTGTAATTCAATGACATTATGTTCACCATGTTGTATAACCATCACTATTATCTAAGTTTTTTATCACCCTAAACAGAAACTCAGTACCCATTAAGCAATAACTCCCTATTTTCTCTTCCCCGTAGCTCCTGGTAACCACTAATAAATTTTGTCTCTATGCATTTGCCTATTCTAGATATTTCATACAAGACACATCATCATTTTTGATTAAAGGCTTATTCAGTAAAATTAAATATGCAAATTTCCATGGGATAATATGAATCTCAAACTTGAAGCCTTTAGACAAAGCAGATTTAATTTTGACCCTGTTTTCTGTTCATCCTTCAAGGGAAAGTCTAAGAAATGTAGCAAAATGGCCAGAAGCCAAGTAAAATAATTAAGGAAAAAAGAAACAAAAAAAATTTAAATACACAGAAATATAAACTCTTGGATAATAAAAAATTAAGTAATCATGAGAGAATTTCTGAACATATTTCTAGACAATTCTAAAAATATAATCAGCTTGCTTTAGACCTTTTATTCTTATTCTTTTTTAGATAAATGTTCTTTTAAGTAGACTTTTAGAACATTACTATATTATAAACTTTTACCTCTAACAGTACTCTGCACTTAATATAGAATTAAGTGAGGCAGAAGCAGTATATTTGAGCAGTTATTTCCAATTTTCCTCCCCCTCAACTTTCTGTCGTATCAAATAAGGAGAGATTTTGTTCATTCAACAAACATTTGAGTACCTACTATGTGCCAGGCTCCATGCTAGGTTCTGGGAACACAAAACAAAGTCCCTGATGTCTTAGAGCTTAAAGATTAGTAGGCTTAAGTCTTACTGATTCTTGGAAGCCAGCTCAACTTCCTTCTCTAAGAAGCCTTTGAAGCCTCTAGTCCAGGTTTCTCTCTTCCTTCCTGGAATCTTCAACACTTGTCTGTATCATTAATTTACTACCTTGTAACATACTTTATGATTTAATTTCTCATGCCTCTTCTCCATAACTAAATTATGTACTTCTTAAGAGCAGGCTGTTTTATCTTTTCAGTGTCTAATATGGAGCCTTGTAGTAATATAGTAAATGGCTTTATTTCCAGTCTAACCAAAGTACCTCAAACAGCAACATTTCAAATGTAAGACGTAGGATGGGGGAGGAAGTAAAAACCAAGTGCTCAGCTAATCCTTAAAGTTTCTCCAAAAACAAAGGTAGCATAGATGTACATGCACGCTCCACACATTCCATACTTCTCCAGCATTTTTCTGGAGAAGTTTTTAGAATTTTTTAAAGTTTTTTTTATCCTTTACTGTTCCTATATTTTACAGTGCTCTTGAATACTATAAAACTCAGCATATTAGAACCAGTCTGATAAGACTACCTGGTCTCTCTGCTTCCACATCTCCCATCCCTCCCCTATAGTCCATTCTCCGCAGTAGTCAGAGTGATTCTTTTGAAATCTAAGTAGTATCACCACTCCCCTGCTCAGAACTCTCCAGTGGCCTCTTATCACACTTAGAATAAAATCTAACATCCTTATCGTGGCCTACAAAATCCTACAAGATCTGTTCCTCAGCTATCTCTCCTGATTTCCTATCACTCCCTGACCCTGCTCACTGAATGGCAGCCCCATTCACCTCCTTACTGTTCTCTACCTGTCTCAGGACCTTGGTATTTGATGTTTCCTCTGCCTGGAATGCTTTCATGTGACTTACACCTTGACTTCTCTCAGGTCTCTGCTCAAATGTCATCTCCATCAAGTAGCCTTTCCTTATACTTCCCACCAGAGCACCACCCCCCTTGCCCCTGGCCTTTATTATTTATTTTCTTATGTACTTTACTCTTCTTTCAGTTATTACCACTATATTTGGTCCAGTTATTTCCCTTTTTGCTTTCAGTTCCCTTTCCCACTTTTCTGTGCTCTACTATGTATTGGAGCTGGGAGTCTGCAAACTCAATTTTCCAGGCTCCCTTGCCACCTGCCTTCCAGATGGACCCTACCAATGGGAGGTACTGGTGGATTAGTGGAAGGCAGACGAGGGAGAAGCAGCCCTCTTCCTACTCTGGATTTCTGGCATTGACAGCGTTGGCAGTTGTTCCAGTCTTGGTTGAAGTGGCACCTTTTCTGCTGATCCAGAATCAACCTTGATAGCATTTCCAACAGTGCAGCAGCAGGGGTATTAGCAATTTTTTATTTCTGGGCATCACCCTTTCTTCCTATTTGCTCTTCCAGCATCTTTTGGTCTTCCAGCCCTTTTAACACATGTGAAACCAATTCCCTCTAAATCTAGGGTAGTTTCTATTTTCCTGATTGGACCCTTACTGTTTATTTATGGTCTGCTAGAATATTTGCTCTTTGTGTGTAGGGACCTTCTGTTCTGCTCACAGTTGTAGACCCCAACATCTAGAAGAGTGCCTAGCACATGGCAGGCATTTAATAAACATTTGCTGAATAAATGAACTTCGGAACCACAGACAAATCTTCAAAACAGGAAACTCTGAAAAAATGTATTTTAAGCTGAGGTGAAACCAGTACCCCAATACATAAAGACTAGCTTTCTTCTTGCCATACACCCTGTCTTGGCAATGCAATATAAAAGAGTTGCCAATGCCTATCCCATGGCATGAGGGCCAATGCCAATGCACTCACAAATAAGAACCTTAGCTGTTCTCAAAGGATGTAATCAATGACACTGAATGGTACATGCAGAAATTGTTGGATCGGTGTATATTTTGCTGTGTATATACTCAACAACAACAAAATAAATAAAATTATATTTAACCTTTGCTGTGAGGTTAGCCAGCTCATAGCATTTCTAATCATTAGCCATATAGCGGTAAGTAATTCACAGTCAGACCTCTCAAGCTCTGTAATACCAGAATTTACCCTGAGGCAGTTCTTTAACGTTAAAAGTATGAGACTTTCTAATTTCATATTTAGAAGTATAATAACATATACAACACAAGATTCTTCTTTAAGACTTTACCTTGGTGAAAGAGTGATGACTTTTCAGGCACGTCTGTAGAGGAATCCCAATGCCAGAGGGATCCATCTTCAGAACAAGTAAATAAATGATCTGGGTTGGATGGGTGGAAGTGAACTTCCCACACTAAAAGACAAGAACAGTGAAGCTTTATTCCTGTGCAGATTAGCTGAACAAACAACATTAAACCTGTCTCAGGAGCTATCTTCTAATACTCATGACATACCTTTATACCCCAAATTTGTTATGAAAATCAAAGGCCTCAGAATTAAAGAAAAGACAGACTATAACTCTCCAAATGGCCATAACATGTAGATAGGATAAAGAAGTCAAGCAAATCTATTTGTACATTGGACCAGAAAAAGAATGAAAGTAATTGCTAATCATTTGATCTATTACTTTTTTAAAAATGGAAAATTATGATGGCGTAATTCTGAGGAAGATTTATTACAAATTGGTCAATTCTCTTATTCTTAATTCCTGTGTCATTAATGAATGAAAGTTACATTGTTGGACAGGAACTTTAGGGGGCAGTGAGTTTATGTTAATGGGGGAGGAACAACTCAGAAAACAAGGTTCAGAATGGTTGCATAACTTAAAGAATGTAATCAGTGTCACTTAATTATGTATGGAGAAACTGTTGAACTGGTGTATGTTTTGCTGTGTATATTCTCAACAACAAAAACAAAATAAAAAAAAATTTCAGTTAAAAAAAAAGTTAAACGTACAATTACCATGTGACCCTGCAATTCAACTGCTTGGTATATAACCAAAAGACTTGAAAGCAGGGACTCAAACAGATACTTGTACACTTGTTCACTGCTGCACTATTCACATTAGCCAAAAAATGGAAATAACCCAAATGTCCATCAACTGACGAACAGATAAACAAAATGTGGTATATACATACAATAAAATACTATTCAGCAATAAAAAGAAATGAAGTCCTGATACATGCTACAATATGGATGAACCTTCAAGACATTTTGCTGAGTGAAGTAAGTCTCATACAAAATAACAAATATTGTATGATCCCACTTATATGAGGTATCTAGAATAGGTAAATGCATAGAGACTGAAGTTTATTAGTGGTTACCAGTAGCTGGGGGGAGGGGGAAATGGGGAGTTACTGCTTAAGGGGTACTGAGTTATGTTTGGGGTGATAAAAAACTTTTGGAAATTGATAGTGGTGATGGTTCCACAACATGGTGAATGTAATTAATATTACTAAACTGTACACTTAAAAATGGTTAAAATGGCAAATGTTTTGTTATACATATTTTACCACAATAAAAAACAAAAAGAACAGTGTATACCCGGCATCTCACTCAGTGCTTAGCACATAGTAGGTGCTCAATAAATATTTGCTACATGGGAAAAAAAAGTTGTATCACTGGGTAGACTGAGAGAGAAGACCATAAAAAGAATAAGGAATATCAGCCTGGGAGTGAACAGCCCCGTAAAACCAAATGAGACTAACGAGGTACAGTAGTCCAGTGACAAGGGCCAGAAGGCAGAAGGGGACAAGGAAGCTGGTGATAGGGAACCCAAGGTTGAGTAAGGATATTGTTGATGTGTTGTGAGATTGTTAACCATTGTCATAGGGCAACATTTGTAGTAACTGTTAAATGAGAAACTATTTTATTCTGTAAGCCTTCATCTAAAGTGAGAATAACAGCACAATTGGAAGAGCATAGTCAATGTCACTGAACCGTGCGTGTAGAATTTTTTGAAATGGTGTATGTTTGGCTATGTGTATTTTCACCAAAAAAAAAAGGTTGAGAAGTTAGAGGGTTGACATGTTGTGGGGTTGTTAACCAATGTCATAAAACAATATGTGTACTACTGTTTCATGAGAAACTATTTGTTCTGTAAGCCTTCACCTGAAGTACAATAAAAAAAAATAAAATAAAATAAAAAAAAAAGAAGGACCAAAAAAAAAAAAAAGAATAAGGAATATACAAATGAATTTCTAAGAGGCAAAGTCCAACTGTGGCTCACACTAGGAGTCTCGGTACTTCTGGCCTTTATCACAGACATAGCTACTAGCTCCTAGCAAGCTAAGCCTGGAGATGCTTCAAGAATCCAGATCCAGTTTCAGATCGAGGGCTTTTAAGAAGCCAAATTGGGATCAGGGTCCCCCTCAAGCTCTAAACTTTAAGGGAACTTTGTGTGCCGGTAGATGTCTGGGAGTCAGTGATTAGCCAGGATAAAACAGGTAGTCAGTGAACAGGGGTTCTGTGATTCTAGGCTAGGTGACCTTGAAGAATCAGCATAGAAATTAGCCAAGGTGTGGAATAAAAAGTGAATAGCACATGTTTATAAGGTGGCAATTTTCATTCTGACAGATTCCATAATTAAATACTATGTCACAAAACATAAAAAGGTCATCTTCCTCAGGAGGAGACAGTGTTCTGGGTGAGTCCCTGAAGAAATTATACTCATACTGCTTCATTAGAAAAAAGTAAAACAAAACAGCCTGGTAGATGCAGGAGGAGATTGCCCAAATATAGATTTTTATGTATTTATTTATTTTCAAATTAGAAACAAACCCGTATAAAACAGTTCATTTTTTTTCTTCTAGCCACAAGTCAGGATGAATTTAAAGCAATACACTACAAACCACTGTATTCTGCATGGATTGTTTAACAGTACAGACTGGCAGTTAAAAGGGGGATGGTAAGACATCTGAAAGTCTGTTATTCTACTACCAACATCAGAATCTATGAAGGCATACCTTATTCTTTAGTTCTCCAGGGCAGAGCTATACCAGGGAGAGACAAACAATTCTGTATCCTTTTATTTGCTTCTTGAATATAAACATAATCTAAAGTCATTTCTTTTTCTAAGTTAATAACGTGAAACTTAAACAGAGAAGTCTCACTTTTGGTTCAATGTTTGCTCTTTCGTACTTTTAGTTCAAGTAGAGCTTAACACAAACTTCTCTTAAATCAGAATTTGGCATGATATTCTGGCATGGTATCAAAGACAGAAGTGATAAAATGAAAAATTCCTATCCAGTCAAAAACTTCCCACCAAAATCAAAAGGCAAAAACAACCCAAAAAACCCCAGAAAATTTTAGACAATAGGCTATATATCTATTGTTCTTGTTTAAAAAAAAAAAAAAGACAATAATAAATTGAGGAACAAAACAGAGTAACAAATACGAAAAATAATGGCCACATCTGCATGGGAAGAGGGCACTCTCACACACCAAACCCTAAACCCTTTGCTATCGAGTCACCTCCGACTCATAGCGACTATATACGACAGAGTAGAACTGCCCCATAGGGTTTCCAAGGAGCGGATGGTAGATTCAAACTGCAGACCTTTTGATTAGTAGCCAAATGCTTAACCACTGCACCTATGGCACTATTATTTTTATGCAGAACAATTTGACAACATGTATTGCAGCTTTAAAATCACATAAACTTTTGGACCATCAATTCTGCTTCTGAAAAATTATCCTAAGAGAACAAGTGCACAAAGATGAATCTGTAAGGATATTCACTGCAGTTTTGGATATAATAATGAAACACCTTAAAGAATTTAAATATCAAGTGTTGATGTGTAGTGAGATTGTTAATCATTGTCACAGGGCAACATGTGTACTAATGAGAAACTATTTTGTTCTGTAAACCTTCATCTAAAGTGAGAATAGTAGCACAACTCGAAGAGTGTAGTTGATGTCACTGAACTATGCATGTAGAAATTTTTGAAATGGTGTATCTTTGGTTCTGTATATTTTCACCAAAAAAAAAAAGGTCGAGAAGAGAGAGGGTTGACATGTTGTGGGGTTGTTAACCAATTTCATAAAACAGTATGTTTACCACTGTTTAATGAGAAACTATTTGTTCTGTAAACCTTCACCTGAAGTACAATAAAAAAAAAAAAAATTAAATGTCACATAAAAAGAAATTAATTATTGTAAATTTATACAATTCTCAGCTATTAAAAATTGTGACAGAAAATTATCTACATGCATTGTTATGGAAAGGTGCTTACAATGTTACAGAAATCACTCAACAAGAACGTTGTATGTCCACAGTACTTACTTTCAGCTTCATGAGCCTTCAGGAGAGACACTGGCATAGTACCTAGTCTAACATCCCAAATACTCAACATTCCATCCTGGCCACCAGTAGCTACAACATGCTGCTGGTTGGGATGTCTATCAACACAGTGGAGGGGCACGCGGTCACCAGTCCTGTTATGGGAGATATAATGACATCAGATATGTGGTACAGTATAACTTATCTTTGCATAACCTTAGAAACATGCTTTATCCTAGTAACTAAATGGTAACTTTGTGGTTGGAACTACTAGTTGAACCCGAATCATGTCAAATATTGACTAGATTAAATATATTTCTAAGTTTCTAGAATTTCTTGGATTTAAAAGTCAACATTATTCATCCTCTCTTCAATATGGAGACATGGGAAGCAGTATAATCTGATGGTAAGATGTGCAAAACACATTCCATTTTTTTGGCTTTTTTAAACATTATATAGCAACTATATATTCTTTACTGTTACCTTACTTAATACACAGTTTATATAAATATTTTTCAGTTATTTTTTTCCCTAATCACATCTAGAGTATATTATACCCACTATCAACAGAATCACTTAATAAGCAGAAATAAGTTTCTCAGTTAAATAATATAAACATCAAAGAGATAAAGGCTCTGAATGAATACAAATATTTGCTAAGGCAGCACGGTAGTATCAAGCCTATCAAGTTATATTTGCTCTGATCAAATTTTATCAGGAATCATTCTCTTGAAGTGCAATTAAAATTAATAAGGTTTAAAGTCAGTTGCTACAAACAAGCAAACAATTAATTTTGCATTAAACAACCGACAAATCAAAACTTACAGTGATAATATCTGAGAGGGCTCATTTCCTGGTTGTCTGAAATCCCATATTTTTAACTGTCCAATTGAATTTACTGTCAGAATCTCAGGAGTTCGAAGGAAGGTTACAGCATGTAGCGTACTGCTATCTGCATTGTCTACAAATATATAACGTAGAGCGCGTGTTAATGAGCGTCTTTTTTCCATGAAAATCTTAAATCACATTCCTTCCATTAGATGAATTACAAGTGAATTTTAAAATACTTATTTAATTCCTACAGAAAATGAACAGTAATATACATGTTAAATGAACTCTCCATTGATAGAAAAGTTATCACTCACAGGACATTTGCACTGTTTTCCAGAGGATTGCATTTCACGTATTTGTATTTCATCTTTACATTGTCAGCCTGCATTTATGAGATAACTATTTAAGTTCCTCTGTATCCACCCTTATTTCCCACTAGTCCTTACTCTAGAACCTCCAGTCTATTGGGCCAAATCCCAGTACTTCCTACAGAGCTCACTCTGACCTTGTACTACTCTGCTCAGTCATCCCAAATCTATTCATCTTTATGGTCATCAACCCTCTCCTGCTCCATGAAGTCCTTTCTGATTGTTATAATGGTCCTTTTCTTTGATTTCCTCAAGTGTTTGGAGCTTATGGCCAGCAAGGATGCGGGAGACCCTTGATGAGATGGATTGGCACAATAGCCACAATGACGGACTTGAACATTCCACCGATCGTAAGGATGCTGCAGGACTAACATTTTATTCTGTTGTACATAAGGTCACAATGAGTCAGGGTTAACTGGACGGTAGCAATCTATCTGTCAATTTATCTCTCTCTCTTAGAGCTTATACCATGTAATTCAGCAATATACTTAGAGATTTTTGTTTTGTGTTACCAACTGTTTCATGTATATTTGGTGTATCTCCCTGCAGTGTAATGGATTGCTTTTTGTGTGGCCTTTCTAGCCATGGTCTTAAAACTCCCATCCAGGTGACTGGGTGGGACTGTGTGATAGGGTAATTGTGGCCCACCAAAGGGATGATCAGTTTTGCCATCGCGCTGGGCTTGACATGAGCCACCCTAGAGGCTGGTAAGAGAAGAGCCCACCACCACCAAGGAAGGAGAGACCAGCAGGAGATGGCACAGTGAGCTTCTTGGCCCATGGAGTGAGAAAGCTGAATGCCTTTGGGCAGAGACTGAGGGCCAGGGAGAAGCCTATGCCTGACCCACGAGTTTGGGACTTGCCAGCCTCCACAACTGCATGAACCATTTCCTTTATATGGTTCGTGAGTTCTGAGACATTACAGTGAATTAGGGAACCCAAAGATGGGAGGGAGAGTACTGAGGGTAGAGAGAGTAGTTGATGTTAAAGATGATGGAGTGGTACAGCAGTTTGGAAAAGCTGGACATTTGGGACATCTTTAACCTCCATCTCATAGGAACCAGTTTTGTGCTGATCCTTATGAAAGAAATAATTTCGTTTACTCTCCAACACAATTATAACAATGGGGCCACGTCTTATATTTCTTCTGTATCCCATCACAGTGTTAATTAAATACATGATAGACATTGTTAATGTAGGATTTGTGAAGCAGTCTGTGGGCACCAAGACTTCTTTTTGCAACACACAGAGATATCAAAACCATGATTACATGAGCACTTTAACCAACTGGACCAAGAGTCCCTATTATATAACAAAACAACAATAGCTTCAGGCCTTCTCCTTTAGTCACACCCTTCCATGCTCCCACGAGGCAATGGTCCTTAACAAATAAACAAATGTGTGCCTCAGAATTATCTGTAAAGTTAAAAAAGACCATAATAAACAAACAAACAAACAAAACCTGAACCACTGGGTCAACCTCTAGAGATTCTGAATCAAGACGTTTAAAGTGGTGAACTATTAAAAAATGTGAAGTATACTTGAGAACTGTTACACTAGAATAACCCTTCTAAAGCGTGACACCGAGTTTATCACCCCCTTGCTCAAAAACTTTCAATGGCTCCTTAGTTGATCATCTAACAAAATGTAAACTCTATAGCTTTGCATTAGAGACTCTTCATAACTTGGCCTCAATTTACCTTTCTTGCTTCATCTCTCATATCTATCTAAAGTCAAGTCAAACTACATTTTTTGTCATTCTCTGAATAGCCTTATCCCGCCTCTATGTCATTCCCTTTGTCTGATGTGCCATCCTTTTAGTATTGCTTATGATCCATAGCCTACATTGCCACGTGTTCCCTGATGCTTTATTGATAATCCCTTCCAGCCAAAAATAAAAAGACTTCTCTCTCCTCTGTGGTCATGTTATTCTACTCATTCGTATGAGCCTTATCAACATACTGCCTTGATAAAGAGATCCTGCCTTGTATATTTTTCTCTCTCAAACACTGTGCATTGTGTTTACTCATGTGATGGGGAAAGAAATATAATGATTTTTCTTACCTATAGTTCTCACAGCTTCCTTGTGATCAGCTCTGAAGAGATTTATTCTGCCATCTTCACCAACCGTGACAATTTCTGGGTTGTTGCACACAACACCTGTACATGGTGCGCCGCTACAGGAAGGACCGCCTGGACCAGTGTGGCAGTGAGCTGTTGTCCACTGATGGCTGACAGACAGAGTCTAGGTATAAGACATGGGGACACCATTAACCAAAGCAAAGTTCTTAAAAATGAACACTTTTCTCCAACAAGGGTATTTTTCCTCACACTCTTCTAGAAAAAGAATAACTCTCCCCTCCTTTGTGTTTCCCTGTACTAAAGTCTAATAATTACTTTCATCAAAGCTCTGTATACACAGAATTAGATTCAAAAGAAATGTTGTTTAATAATGTCCCACATTTATCTCACTGAAGAAATAGTTTTTTGGTATTAAGTAATTATGTGTTCAAAAGCAACTCTTTAAATTCTTAAGGGAATTAGTCTATATCTAAGAAATAAATCTCTATAGCTCTTTCTGAATGACTCCATCAAGAAAAATACTTAACGATATCTGAGTCTCGTATTTACTAGGCACACCTATTAACAAGTTGACCTTTATTAATCCCAAAACCTACATAAGCACTCTCTTCCAGCAACTTAAAACTGTGTTACAGCAAGTGGGGCTATTTTTAAAAATTGCCCTCCCCACTGCACTCGGAAGGTCAGCACTCTTGGGCTTAGCAAACAAGAAAGGCATTGAGAAAATGTCAAGTCTTCATACAGCATATCTTCTCTTCTAATTAAACCCTGGGTTCTCTATCCACAGAAGCAAAATAGCTGTTCCTATTCTCCTTCATGGCATCTGAGCTAGAAGGTACTCTTTCTTTCTAGAAAAGAACTTTAAAAAGCAGAATTACAGTAAAATCACCTGGTAATATTAAGTTTAAACTAAGATAATTTACTTAACAAAGTAAGGGATATCCAATTTCAATAAAACAAACCTGTTGCCATCGAGTCAATTCTGACTCACAGCAACCCATATGTCACAGAGTAGAATTGGTCCATAGGGTTTTCTCGGCTGTAATCTTAATGGAAGCAGATTGACAGACCTTTCTTCTGTATTCCTACTGAGCAGGTTCGAGCCACTAACCCTTTAGGTTACCAGTGGAGCGCAAACCGTTTGCGCCATCTAGGGACCTTCCATGGTTCTAAAATTAATCCAATAAAAGTTTGGTAATATAACAGTGATATTTTCCCCTTTCATGTTTTCAGACTATACATTTTATTATTTGTGTAATTACTAAGCACAGTCTTCCTAAAAATAATTAAAACACAAATTCAGCTTTCAAACAGAGTTCTTTACCTGGTTATTCTGATGGTGAAGGAAAATTGTTACGCATCCTGTTGATGAAGCAGCTACAATTCTTTCCTGGTCCAAAAACTAAGTAAAAAAATTCTGCTTATTATAGATTCAAAAATATCAGTAGGAAGGAAGCCCATTTTCTTAACTCAATCAGAATGAACCCTATTACAATTTTAAAAAGAGCTTGTAAACGCCAAGCAAATAAAATGTGATGATTGATTTGAAAAGCCAAACTATCATAACAAATAAAGGTATTTTCATACAAAATAAACAGCAACTTTTTTGTAAACTCCTTAACCTGTAATTGATTCAATTCTGGACCACCATAATAAACCTTTAGAAAAATATCTTCTCAGGGTGAAAAAGTTTTCTTTAGAATAAAATGGAGGAACTTTGAAGCCGTGAATTTGAATACTCAATTCCAGTCCCACCATTAGAATTTGAGGCAGCACCACTACTGGTTTTGAGACTTGGGCCAAATTCAGAAAGTTCTCTAATCTTTAAAATAGAACTACTAATCCTTGATAGGAGATTGAATTTAAAAAGCAAAATCATGGAAAGTGCTTCATATATTGTTTGTCACAAAGTACATGCTCAACAGATCTTCATAGTCTCAGTTTCCTCATTGGTAAAACAAAGAATACTTTATCCACAGGCACACAATCAGAATTATACTAACTCATTATGTAAATCTCCTAACAGTGCTTCGCATCACAGTAGATAGGCAACTAATAACAAAACAAAAACTGTAACTAAATCCACATCTCCTTCCTAAGTCCTGATTCTGCCACTAAGTGGCTATGTGATGTTGGGCAAATCATTTAAGCCACAGAGAACTCTGTTTCCTGTCAAGTTTATACAGATTTCAAGGTCCTTTGCATCTCTAAGTGTAATACTCTCGGTTGTTTTAAAAGTTCGTTTGTGGCTACTACATAGACGTACCTGTAAATCCATTACATCACCATCGTGCCTGATATCACACAGTAACTGATGGTCTCCTTCAAACCCTCCATCAGAGTCCAAGTTTCCAAAATCTCCAATTGACCACAACGAAACATAATTTTCCTGTAAAGCAAAAGCTTTATTTTGAGACTAAAGAAACGCCAACTTCGGAAATTAATATTTTTACTGCCTTCAGGCAACTCTGCTTGAAAATCATCTCAGACAAAAGGTATGGTAAGCTTTTAAAACACAAGGAGATACGAGGGTCAGGCACACCATCGCTGGCTCTGAGCTACTGAGCAACCGAGACCAGGACTGGGTGGAGGTTAAGGAAGGGCGAAAAGGGCCAGTAAGGACTTTCGCGCGCAGGCGGCCCGGGGCGCGGTTCCCCAGACCAGAGACAGGAGGGAGGCAGGGGCTCCCGCCCCGGGAACGGGGGTACCTCGTTGTCCCAAGAGCCCGTAGCGAAGGTCTCCGCTGTTTGCAAACTCCCCGGAGGCACTGGTCGCCAGCGGGTTTTGCTGATTTTCTGAGACACAAACTTAGCATAAATTTCCTTCATGCCGAAAGCAACCGCAGCAGACACAGCAAGAAGCACCACGAGCGCCCCTCAGTCCAGCTCCTTCCTCTGGGAACTCTGATTGGCCTGGGCCTTATGAGGAGGACGGTGGCTGCGGAGAGCCAATTTTCTTGCGCGGGTTGTGTAGACAAGCCCAGCCCCCAGGCGGATGGAAGCCGGAACGCCAGTCTTCACTGCCCTCTAACAAAGACACGAGAGTGCCCTGACCCTTGTACTACACCTTCTCCTAACCTGCAACATCGGTATAGAGACACCTAGAGAATGTATATGTGCAATAATTGTGCAATATAAAACAAATTTATATTGCAAAACAAAATCAATGCAAGAGAAACCACCTTGTAGGGACATCTAAACATTCAGTTGCACTTCACTGCATATAAAAAAAGATTCAAAACCTTTACGTTCTCATGGAAGTACCTCCACTAATACACCAACTTATTATTCTAAATCTCTTCCTCTTTTCATTTGCTTCTAAGTTGTTAATACCCACTGTCAGAGCCTGGAGTTGGAATTCTGAAGACTCCAGGTCTAGTTTTGACGCCCATTGCGTAGCTATGTAACTTTGGCCAATTCATTCATGTATATAATAAAGAATGCATTTGGTGATATCTAACAACAGCCCAGGAATCAGGGCTATAGGCTCCTTCTTCTATGCTTTTGGTTAATAGGAAAAAAAGAAAAAAAAAAACAACCTGTTACCATCGGATTGATTTGGACTCATAGTGACCCTATAGGACAGAGTAGAATCTCCCCGCAGGGTTTCCAAAGCTATAGGGTGGCTATGAATTGGAATGACTTGATGCCAATAGGTTTGGCTTTTTTTTTTTTCCTGGTTTTAATCTTTACGGAAGCAGATCTCCAGGTCTCTTCTCCCTCTGAATGGCTACTGGGTTCAAACTGC